GAATTTCCATATATCTTCTCTCTAAGAAAATTATAAACATTTAACGGATTGTTATCATACTCATCTATACCTTCCAAATGATTGTAGTTAATAAATATATTCCTTGTACTATAAAGAAAATAATCCATAACATCATCATTATCATTATTACTTAAATTGATCTTATTTATAGTAATTGGCATTATTCTTTTACATTTTCCACATTGAGATTGGTCAGAATATCCAAAGATAATATTTGTTGTCAGGCAATGTCTACACCCAACATAAACCATAAAACAATGGGGGCACCATTTTTGACTTGAACATTCAAATATTAGTTCCACTTTACATATTGCGCATGTATCAAATGCATCCCACCATGGTAAAAAAATAATTGGAATATCTTTTTTGCTCAATGTTGATTCGATGCGTCCATAAGAAACTTGATAGCAATCCGAACATATTTTAAGTTTCTCATTTAACAAAGAATCTTGATAAATTAATTTTCCACAAAATTTGCATTCTTTTTCGGTTTCAAATAATTTCTCTTGATTTTTAAAGCTAAAATTTTCATCATAATAAGCTAAAGAATTTGTTGGTATTTGTTTAAAAAATGAAATTATTGAACACTTTTCACACCATTCTTTAAGATTGCGTGTAAAAAAATCTAAATTCCTGCTCGTCTTATGTTCGCTACATTGAGAATTTATAGTGCTTATATGTATATCTAGATGATTATAATTATCATTTATATTGCCAACATATCGTAGAAAACATCTTTTACAATATTTTTGTTTAAATAAAAGAGTTTCTGAATATTTAGCTCCACAATTATCACAATTATCTTCATTTTGATGAAAAGAAATAAAGTCAACTGGTATTGGACTGGATTTTAAATTTGGTATTGGACAAAAAAATTTACGTTTTAATAGCGTCGCCTCCGTCATGATTGTGAAGGTAAATTCTTTTGCTTACAAAATAGGATGGCTTTTATATTTGTGTAATGCAATCAATGTTTCTAAATTTAGATTTAGTCCGATTTTCTTCTAAATTCGTACAGGACTTATCCCATATTTGGTAGATAATTACGCCCAAATATGGAATCAAAAGGAGAGGTTTAAGCATCACATAAATGATTGATCTGAAATTGATCGTCGTAGTATCTACCAAAAAAAGATATTGGTTGTATTTTTCCGTTTTTTTTTAATATTTTTTAATACTTTTATTTTTTTTATTATTTTTATATTTTTTATTATTTTTTAATAAATTTTATATAAAATTTTTTAAAAAATTCATTATTTAAAATCAAAGTATATATCAAATATATCTAAAATGAATTCTAATAATTCTAATAATGGTACATGTAAAGTTAAGGATTGTGATAAAAATGATTCAAATATATATAAATTTAGAAAATTTACTCAATTAAGTAAAAAAAAAAGCTATAAAAACTAATACATATCATAATTATAATTATCTTCAAATTATTATCAAAATGCTTATATAAAAGACAAAAACTATTACATTTAGAAATTGAATAAGATCCTAAAAAATTTCAAAATATAATTAAAGAAGATGAATCATAATTAAAAGGTTTTTTTTGATGAATTAGTTGATATTTTTATTTCATCAAATAGAAAAAAAATATTTGTTGGATTTTATTATTTATTATCTGATTTAAAAAATAAATTTAATAATTCTCTTCAATTAGAAATTGGACTTTATTTATCTTCATGTGATGCTACTTTTGAATCTATTAATATAATAGTAAGACTTGGAATTTTTGTATCTTATAAAATAGTAGAAAGATATAAAAAGAATATATCAGATAATCATTTTAATAATATTTTGAAAAAATAAAAATAAATTATTTTGTTTTAATATTGATG